TGACAGTATAGTGAGTGGTGTATCGGCTTAAACAGATAAAATTTGTTCTGTTTTAGCCGCTGCAAAACTTCCACTGATTGCCGCTCCCTCGAGATGCCGAGGACGGATCGGTAGGGAAGAGACAGGAAGGATGAGCGATGATGAACTAAGGGAAAGAGTAGAAGGCAAAGAAACGGAAGATAAAGGAAACTAGGCAACTGATGCAAATATGGATAAATTTTGGTGAACTTTAGAACCCCAAGAATACATAGAATGTGAACATTTTTTAAACATCTGTTTACCATCTCGAAGAAACAAGAAGTTATTTTTGAGGACGTTGCCAATGATTTAGACAAACAGCATACAAACAACAACAGCGACAACAACAACAACGACGACTACAATAACAATGATGATCTGCTAAATAGTCTCTGAGGATATTTTCAGCAAATAATTACTTTTAGAAACTAATCTAATTACATCTGTACAGAGAACAGCAAAACATTTAAGGAGGGAGGGAAAGGGGGGAGGGCGAAAAAAAAAGTATTTTCGTCGTTGACGAAGAATTATTTCTTAACAAAATTTCATTTATTTTCTTCCTTTTTTTTGTTTTCGTTGCTGCTACTGCTGTTGCTATTTTCAGTTTCAGTTTCAGTTTCCTTTTGTCATTTTTTCCCTTCATTTCACATAACTGAATTTAACCAACATTTTCGTCGTCAAATTGGTCATTTTAGAAGCAGAAAGTAGGAGAAAAAAAAGAAGAATCAGTCATAAACAGCATGGAGATGGGCCAATGGATAAAGCATAGGACGACTTGTAAAATGGTAAATAGAACAATACATTGCATAAGAACCTATGTTAGATAAAGCTTAACCAACTATTTTTTTTTTAACTGTTTTTGTACACGAACATAGTGATATATGTCTGTATGCTGTATATTTATGATGAAAGTTTAGAAGTTTATAGTGATATTTGTTACAAAGTTATATTCCAGGCAAAAATAGAGGTGAAAAAAAAAATAAACTTTTCCAATAGGATTTTCTTAGGTTTTCTTTTTCCTGTTGTTTGATGAATAACACCAACAGAAAAAAAAAAGACAATATTGATTAACAATTGCAAAACAGAATAAAAAAAAACAAAAAGAAAGCAAAAAAAAGGCATCAAAGGATTTGGGATCAAGAATAAGATGAAGATGGAGAAAAAAAAAAAACAATGAATAATCTGCTACAGAAATACGTTGTTAATCCAATGAAAACCACTTTTTTGCCTTTCTGACAAAAAAAAATTTTTTTTTTTTTGCCCTGCTCTTCTGGCTGATAATTTATGTTTTTTAAAACCAAAACAATTAGTTAGTAAACATGGTGAGCAAAAAAAAAAACAAAAAAAAAAAGGATAGTGCTAAGGGGAGAAAAGCGGGTGGAGTTGGGGGTGGGGGGGGGAGAAGGGAGGAATGGGGTAAGAAGGAAGGAAAAAAATTGCTTAAAAGATAGAGGAAACGGAGGAGGAAAAGCTGCGGATAAGCGCAGATGGTTGACAACGGATTTTCCTCGATCTCCACCATCTTATTCGGCCCCGCACAGATGATGATTATCGCTGTCATCATCCAGGGGCTATCATCATCATCATCATCATCATCATCATCATCAACATCATCACCGTTTCCATCATCGTCACCACTATTATTGCTATTGTCATCAACTATCATCACCACCACCATCACGATCACCAAAACAAAAAAAGAAGGAACTCAGATTTTTTTGAAAATGCATCAGTACTGCAAATTATTTTTTTGTTTTTGCCGTCGAAATAGCAGTTAGATAAATGCTCCTTTTCTTTCTCTCTTGCAACAAATAGACAAATAAAAACATATTTTTTGCACTACAGTTTTATTGGTAAAGGAATCGGCTTTTTTTTTTTTTTT